AAGCGGGGGGGGGGCCCCCCCCCCCCCCCCACAGACTGCAGGGAGAATTCTCGCGAAATGGAATACGTACTACATCCCCTAGACAGACGTACTGCGTAGCCTCCGCCTATTGCGAGAATTTCGGTCAGCGGTATATAAGGTTTCCCTGCGTTGCGTCAATATCGACCAACCGTCCGCAGCGACCAGGAGCACCGGAGCTTCTAGAGCCGCGAGGGCTCAAAAATACGTAGGCCTTCGCACGGGGCAGTGGTTTGTGAGACACCCGATAGAAAATAACACTGGGAAAGAGTGAGTGGGAACGTCAATTACGACCCTTAACTCTTTTGATAATCGTACGAAGGAAACCCATTTTTATCGACCTAACCCTTACTTGTGAATTTAAAAAAAAAATACATCTTTTCACGTAATCCCATTCAAGTCCCTTATCTCCGTCTCTCTTTCTCCGTACCGCTATGCAAGCTCAGATTTTCGGACCAATCGACCGAATGAACCCAGTCCGAACTTTTGAAGCCCATTTCTCTCCGGTTAGCAGGGAAGCGCATTTGATTTTCTAGCGGGTACATTGAGGAGAGGTGAAAACGGAAGTCTGCCGGGCCTCTAGGCTCTCCGTCTCCTTGTTCGTTTCTATCGATCGACTTCGCGCTGTTTCTCGCGAGTACCGAGCAGGTACGAGACAGCGAGACAGTGGAAGCTCACAGTGCTTTTAGGGACGTCCATAGTGCATGGGGAGTTGATAGCCACCCACCGCCCCCTCTGCCCCTCTCTCTGACTGAGAAGTCCCTATACGTCACCGAGCGACCCCCGACTATGAAAACCAGAGTTTACCTCCCAGCCGACCCGTTGGGCATCTATGCTCGGAGCAGCATCGACTTCCTTCTTCTGCCTCGTCCAAGGAAGAGCCTAGCTAGCCTAGCTCCAGCATCCGGCCGAACTTTCCCGACTATCCGAAAAAGTCCTTTACCGAGTCCATTACTCATCGGGGATATCAGAGATATATTATCAACCAGACTCCCACGATGACGTAGGGTCCCTCAAGGAGCCCAGGGATTCAAAGAGTCTGGAGTAATCCCCCATAAGTCACAATTAAAGGGATTTACCGGATTCCCAGTATACCGGTACAGAGATCGGGGACTGAGTAACGCTACTGGTCCGACGACCTTTGACCTGGATATACATTTTAATTCGTCCGTTCGACCTGCCGGAATTCTAAATATACTCGAGAACGTCTCTAGGCCCTACGTATGGGCGGCGTTAACTCTAAGGGCGGATTTCCACTAGGGATACCAGAGGGGGGTTGGTAATATTGCATTACCCAGCCGGATAAGTAAGAGGTTATAAGGCTTCGGTTTAACCAGCGAAGAAACCCGATAACCTTGTCTGGCGTAACGCCGCTTTCAGACACGGAGAGGTAATGCCAGAGCTGCCAGCAATTTGTCCGTCAGAAATGCCTGACTGCCTGACTGCCTGACTGCCTGACGATGAGTGCTCGATACACCTTGTCCATATACAAGAGGTGGAAACGATTGACTCTTAGGGGCGAGTGACGTCGCGTTGCCATCCCTGAGTAGCCAGACGGGAAGGGTGGTATTATCCAGAGGGGGATGAATTAGGTAGGAAATTACGTCACAATGTCAAAATGCACTTAGGGGCTTACTAGTAGCCACAGTGGAAAAGCGTCACTTCCCTTAATTGGCAGTGGAGGTTTTTTTTCGGGGTCGTCATAACGGTACAGGGTCGTTCAGCTGAAACGTGCTGGCTAGATAGTGAGAAGTATCACGCGATTATTTTTTCCTTGTCGTATGTTGGCATTACTTTTTTTTTTTTCCAAGACCAAATATACAGAACGAAACGATCCTCTCGTATCCAATGGTGAAATCGAGCGTTTGACAGCTGTCAAATGTAATCGTCGAGACGCTTCGGCTGGACGAGCCTGTACAGTCGCTACGGCATATTTTGCCTTTTCGTATGGCCCTCGGTCTGCCGATAAGATAGCTACGTTTCTACGTGGCTACGTTTCACGTCCGAGCATTTTGGGGAATGTTCGTGTCCCACGATTAGCCTTTACGTCGTAAAAGTCTTTCCGGAGCGCGAGAGACACTTCCACGCTGCGCCCGTAACACGCGAAACATTCTGCGGGGTTTATCTGGCTGTCGTAATTTCACGGGTTAATCAGAACGAGTACTGGAGTACCGGAGTACCGGGTGCGCGGGTTGCTCTAGAGGTTGCGCCTACGCCCATGGAAAATTGTCTTGTGAGAGGAGGGAAAAGAAAAAAAAAAAGAAAGAAAGAAAAATTAAAAAAAAGAACTAGGAATCGATGAATTTTCGTAATCTTACCTTGCGTGGTGTTGTGCTGATTGGCCGATGGCATGCCGGGGTAGAGGGGCGAGGGGTGCGCCGAAGGTTGTGAGGACGGAGGTCCACTGGCCGAATGAGGGTTGGCACCGGTGGGTGTGGGGGTGGCCGATTGGGGTGGCTGGGACTGTTGCGATTGTTGTCCAGGGTTGACGGACGTGGGAGTTGCTGCGGGGGTGTTTCCACCCCCGCCACTAGAAATTTGTTGCTGCTGCTGTTGCTGCTGATGCTGATGATGATGCGGGGGCTGCTGAGGCGTCGGGGGTCGCTGGATGACGTCGCCGGCAGGACCTACGGAGAGGACGAGAAATAAAAGAAAAAATGGGAGAAAGAGGTAAATATATACGTAGGAGGATGGGGTTAGATCGGGATCGAGGTGGACGGGGAGGGATGAAATTTTCGCAGCTGCTAAATCTTTTTAACTTTTTAAAGTCCCTAGGGCGAATTCACTCGAGGGTGCACTCGGCTGAACATTTTCCAAGCGCATTAACCTTCTTTCGACTCTCGTGGTTCGACTCGTACCCTTGCTGGTACGTAAGTGGTACGTCGGGCGCATGTAATAACGTCGGGGGTCCTACGCCCCTGGTAAATGCAAAATTTATACTTCTTGCGAAAAAAAAAAAATATATATATATATGATCCTAACGCGACGTGGACTGCCAGGGGAATTTATGGTTTTTTTTGTCAATTGTTTCTTTTTGAGTTCAGCCCACCTCCCCACTCGCTCCTGCACTGGGGGTGATGGAAGGGTGTCGTGAATTGCGCATAGCCACGATATTCAAGGGTTGCGAAAAATGCCACGTGGAAATTGATATCATTCAACCCCCAAACTCTTGAATTCTTGATCCCGGCCATTTTCCGCACAACTTACGGAAAGGAATCGCGTGTCTCGCCGTCGCGAAACTTGTTAAATCGATCGGATCTGATAGAGGACAGGGGAGGGGAAGGAGGGGAAGGAGCTGGACGTTCTCGAAGGAAAAGTGGAAAATTCTGGAAAGTTCGCGGAGTCTCAGTGAAGGCCACCCCCTGCGCTTGCAAAGAGGCCGTGTACTTATGGCAGATTCTACTTAATGTAATTATTCCCCGATGGTAAATTAAATGAAGTTCTTGATAACGAGAGGATCTTCCAGGTCTTGTCAAGAGACTTTGTTATTGGATAAGAATGTCGAGCGAGGCACCACCGACGCCCGGCGTCGGAACGCCGCTTCTTACATTCGCCCGTAAGAGGCTAATGCTCCGTGAACTGTGCTGTGGCACTTATACCTGGATAGAACTACCAAGGATCAATAATATAATATGGTGGAAATGAACTTCCGCTTTTAAATACAGTTTTTAGGGTAACCACCCTTAAGTTAATATTTTATGAACGAGTGAAGGACCTCACTCGTTTATTCAATAAGAAAAATTGCTTAGACGTGAACCTTTGCTATTGATCATTAACAAATTGAAAGGAGACCTTTCGAAAGGTTCCCTTGGCTAACCTTAAGGAGCTCTCGACCTTTCGCAATGTGACTGGCAAGTAGCTCCACCCGTGGGAAAAGACAGAAACTACATTTTAAAGAGGATCGGTCGGTAAAACAGGGATCTACGTGAGTGGCGCAAGAGCACTGTCAAATCTGCTCCGTAGATAACTCTAGGCATTCTCACTAGTCAAACAGATTTTTAGTAGATAAAAGAAGATAGAGTTCCGAGGTAAAGACGGAAATAGGCATTTTTTGTAAAATTTTGGATTATTCGCAATAGACGATGTAGATGGTAAATTGGACCCTTTGCGGAAATCAAGTACTTTGCTCCCCAGCGTTTGATGCTAATAATAAACCTCGACGCAGTTACAGTAGCACGAGCATTCGCTCCATGACTGTCTGGTTTCATTCCTCTCGATTCCGCTCCACGTTTCCGGTGGAGGGACCAGACCGGAAGTAGCGAGAACCCGCCGAAAAGGGCAGGGCCCGAAGATACGCGGAAGGGAAAAAAAGTTTGAAAAAATGTCAATTCACATCGAATTCAGTTTCCCGATTGGCGGGTGCGTGTGAAAAAATAAGAAAATAAAGAAAATGTACTCACCATTTTCCGGTATCGGTGACGTCGGGCTTTCCGGCAGGAGGATTCCCTTCTGTACCAATTCGTCTCGATTCGCTCGAACCGAAATTTTCCTCTCCAATGCTGCAATTATGTCGAACGATTAATATTGCGCCATTACGGGTTAATTTGGTTAGGGACTTGTGAAATCGATGCGCGATCCGAATCGCGATATTGTCCTGTTTAATGAAAAAAAAAAAAAAGAATGAGAGAGAAAGAGAGAGAGAGCGATAATAGTAAAGAAGGAAGGAGACGCAGAGACCGCGCGAAACCGTTAAACTTTAATGTGACAGGAGGAATTTTTTTTTTTTTTTTAAAAAATTTTTTTTTTTTTTTTTTTTTTTTTTTTTTAATATAAAACTCACATCTCGACGCGGCTTCAAATTTGTCCGATTTCTTTTTCCGCTTCCATTTCCAAGGCTTAAATAGTCTACCGAGGGCTGAGAATTTGCTTTTCCTTTCGAGAGGCGGAGTCCGCGCTCCGGAGCCCAGACTATTTGTTCGTAGTGCTGCGCCATTTTGTTTTTTGGCTGAAACAAAAAAAAAATAACGTCTATTAATATTCAATGTTGCTCGGTAAACGTTCGAAAAACCTAAATTAAAAGAAAAACGAAAATTATCAACGAAAGATAAAATTCCCAAGGATTTTCCCACGGTTGGAATGAAATTCAAAGAACTTTGGCAGTTTCCTACATTACCATCCCTCGTACCGACGCTCATCGATTATCAACCCCACGCGCCACCCCCGCCGCACTTCAACACCCCCCCGCTCAAACTATCCTAAAGTTCCCGAAATTCCTGACTACCAGCAAAACCACAGAGTCCCGTGTTCGCCTAAAACCACCATAAACGCAGATTTGCCAATACGTGCCAAAATCCCCTGAAACTATGACAGGGCATTTCGCACAAACCGGCTAATCCTAAAGAGCGAAAGCAGCAAGTCCGAAATAGTTGCACGTCCTACAAGGAGGCAATCGCGAAGTAGCAACGCACCGATATCCCAGGCCAAAGTACATCTTGCTTGGGGAAACGGGCGAAACGGGCGAAACGGGCAATTCCCTGGGAACTTGGGGAGGAAACAATGCCGGATAATGTGTCGTAGGGCAGTGCGGGATTCAGGCCGAAGACCCTCCAGGCGGAAACGTCATTACGAGCCTTAAGTGCTGCTCAGGGCCACTTGGGTTCAGGATGTCGAAAGCCTCCCTTGAGCTATCGAATATCAAGAATTCCCACGGACAAACCACGAGGTTGCACAGACAGAACGAAAACTGCGACTACAGGCCCGTTCAAAATTTCGTAACTTCCAACGTTAAGATCTCCCGGCACCAAGGCAGACCGATGTATACGGAACGTAATAAAATCTCTAGCTAAGTCGCTGACCTCTTCGATGCGCCACTTGAGAGCTCTTCGGAGGCAAGGGTCGCAGGAGGAGCACGAACCAGGACCAATCCGAATCCTACAAAGGACATCCGCCATTACGTCAGACCTATTCAAGAAAGACACGTCGCTCAAAGGACCTTCGTCCTCGGGGCCTGATTTGCCCCCTGGCAAGTCTTTCTTCCTGCCGCTCCTGCATTTCCTCCCGTTCCCTTTCCAATTGGACCAGGCACAATGGCCTCGGAATTACATGGCGAGAGTGCACCGCGCACCATGCTCTGGACCAGAGTACTGGAAGCTGGAGAGCCGTGCTCCCGCCACGGGGTACCTATGCAATTTAGTAGACACAAAGCTGCGCCCAATGGGGTGCATCGGTGCATCGGTGCATGCTTGTCGCGCGCTTATTCCTCTTTTAAGAATCCCCGAGAGGACCTCGTCCCGCACTGGTCCATTCTTTCGAAATCTGTAGCGCGGTTATTCCGGATGCTGGCACTAAGAGCTACAGGCCCGGTTAGCTGTATCTCGCAAATGTCATCAGGCTACCAACGATCCTATTGTCTGATGACAATATATACTTGTTACGGTAATAGGTACTTTCTTAATTCATCAATTGATAACAGATTTAATATATACGGAGCTTCAAAATTTCTTAAAAAGTCAATTAAATCTTCTTTTGTAGTCGAATGCACCCACGCTGTATTTTTATCATTTAGGTACGAATATTTTTCTTGAATACTCATAGTAAGCTTTCCTGCATGCTTAATATTGAGTTTTTCTATTGACTTTTATTTAATCACTAACTTCATTTCACACACTTTTAAATTCAGAGTATCCAGCACTTGTTTTTAATTAATAAACTTTCCTGTATGTTTACTAATTTTATTTCACTTTATTAACCGTTTTTCAGAAACCATCCGCTCTGCTACCATGTTAATAAAAAGGGTGATCTTTATAAATGAATTTATTATAAGACTCAGTACAGACAACTACATCCCGACGACTGCGTGATTCTCACAAGGCAGTCTTTTTATAATACAACATTGCTTGACAATTTACAGACTAAGCATTTTCATAAGTTTATTGGGCTACCGCATTCGCGGTCATCGCACCGATCATTGCACTATGGTGCAATATTCGTCAGCATAAATGTATTTCTCAACAAGGTCATTTTATCAGGATCAGCTGCATATGTGGGGGGGGGGGTTGACCATGAATCAATGTTTGCAGGACTCCCCCCCCCAGCAAAGTCATTCAGAGACACGCAACAAGCTCGTGCATAACTATCCATTGATATATCCTATTATCAGATAAACGTCTGACTCGGGTATTAGCTGGTTTAATATGATTTATTGATTGACTGATCGATATAGCGGGAAGATCAATCGCGTGAAAATCGATACGAATGGAGAGAGAGAGAGAGAGAGAGAGAGAGAGGGGGGGGAAAGGGGATGAAAGGGCGAGTGAAAGAATCTGCGGTGGAAATAAAAACGGAAGCAAAAGAGCGCTGGGCGGAAGTGCTGAACGATTGGTTCGATGGTAGGAAAGATCGAAAGATCGAAGGATCGAGGGTTAGAGAGAGAGAGAGAGAGAGAGAGAGAGAGAGAGAGAGAGAGAGAGAGGGTGAAGGTGGTATAGAAAAAGGAAGCAACGTTGCTGCGCCAGTTGAAGGGTGGAAGGGCGGAAGGGTGGTGTGGCGACGCCCACCAAGGGAGGGTTGCTCCTTCCTAAGGGATGCTGGGGGGTTGCTATGGCGACACCACTTTGTTTTCCGTCTCCAATTATCCAGCCGCTGGTTGTCAACCTGTCGAGGACCAAACTGGCCTCCGAGACTGTCTGTCTGCCTGACGTCTCTATGTCCATCCGCCTGTCCGCCCGTCCGTCCGTCCGTCCGTCCGTCTGGCTCGCAAGGGCGGCAAGACGGAGATGCCCGCGATTTGTGACGCTGATGTTATTTAATCAGCCACGTCGACGCGAATAAGAATCCCCGTGGAAATTGCTGGACCGAACCGAAGCGATTGGATAAATTGGTCGGGGGGTGAAAAGTCGTCCCCCCCCCCTCAACGGGGTTTAAAATTACCGGAGGATGAAAGCCAATTTCTGGTCCGCTCTTGTGGACAGCTGCTATCTATCCAAGATCAGCTCGTTACAAGGGTCTAATCGCGGGAGGGGAGACTGCTAAATGTAATTTGACTGCGGCGACTTGTCCATCATGGTTGGGGTAGTTTGCCAGAGGGGCGCGAGAGCCGTGAGGAGTCTGGTAGAGTAAGAAGAAAAGAGAAGGGAGGGATGGCCGGGAGCACCTTGTCTGAGGAAATTGCGAAAAACGTTTCGTCGATCCTCGGAAATCAGAGGAAATTGGTTATCGTGACTCGGACTGCAGTCGGATTCGATGGTTTAACGTGGGAAATGAATCGAGAAGTGCGAAGCTATCTCTTCTCTTCGAATTCGGTGAAATTACAAGGTTTATGAAAATTTATTAAAATAATCTGAATGACAGGCGCCGGACGATTTCCAGTCAATGGACCGGAAATTCGCGAGTTGCGGACTTGGCCTGAATTCCTTGGACGGGAGTCCCGCCGTCTGGTACGCGCGGCCCTGTAGCAAGAATTGCATAATGCGCAAAAAAGGAAGGTAGAGAGAGAGAGAGAGAGAGAGAGAGAGAGACGCAACGAGATCAAGATCAGAGAAAGAGAGAGGAAGGAAATTTTTGGTAGCTCCAACCAATAGGGAACCTCGATAGAAATCAGTTTCCGTGAAGGATGAAAATGATCCAAGAGACAAGCGACTCACCCTTACGTCATAGGATCGAAATTCTCCATTAGATGCCTCATAAACGAGAGGGGTAGCTTCCTGGTTTACTCAAGTACAATATCCGAGCTACACCCTATATATATATATAATACACACACCAGAAACTTAGACGCGTTCGCCAAGGAGGATATTGCAGCGCAGAACTAGATCGGACTTCCTGTAATTAGTTTGGATCTAATAAGTGAGAGGCAAGTCTGGCTGGGATCTGGGATCTCTCGGAAGATTTCTACAATAAATCCCAAGATAAAAATCTTTGTACGAAATGTACACAAAGCCTCCGAAAAGGAATCCCTCGTTACTTCGTCTCTTATCAGCGCTCCGCACCCACACGTGTGCCCCAGAATGTAAGGTACTGTAGAAGCAGGTATATTCTAATCCTGCAATGTGTTATGGGAAAATGTGTCAAGCGGTGGCGCCGCCAGCAGTGTGTTTAACGTACTATCCGAGTCTCATACTGTATTCGCGCTAACTTTCAGTATGACGTCGCAGCATCCTAGAGTAAATTCCCATGCACCGCAGGATTCCAGTACCTGTTTCTATAATACCTTATCGGAGTGATAAGGTAAAAAAGGAAGAAGAGCTCGTACCACTCCACTTGAAACAAACAAGCCAAGCCTTGTGATGGACCCGAGCAATGGCTGACTCATTCACGAGCGATGCCCATTAGGCATAGTTAACCTAAGAGCGAACCTCCTGCGTTCGTTACGCTAGAACGTATAGCGCCATATGAATTGGAGTGCGGTATCATTTAAAAAAAAATCAGTTTCTTATTTCGCCATCAGCGAATCTCATCTCCGGTCCATATCCAGCATCCAGTATATTATCCACAGAGTGTTAATCGTCTAATAGAATTCGGAACAGCACAGGTAGCATACCACGGTACAGGACGAGTAGTACAGCTGAGGTACAGACAGTGATGAAATTTTACACTAGTGAACGAAGCAGGCCAACCGAATAGAGAAGCGAAAAAGGTGACTGGCTGACGGGAAGATAGGAATGTAGACTGCGGCAGGACTGACTGTACCGCGTGTTTAATAAACTACGCTACATACGCATACGACAAACACCGTTAGCGGCCAGAGCGCGACTATAGCGCGGAACAACTGGCTGCAGGCGGTAAGCAAGCAGGTCTGCGTCATGGCGTCGTGGCGTCGTGGCGTCATGGCGTCACGACGTCACGACTCCAGTAGTGCCGGCCGCGTGCTTCCAAGGTATCTCGACGGTCTACGAGCCGTGATCAGATTTTTTCCGGTTTTTCTAATGGCGCTTCCAGTCGAGATAAAAGAGCGTCGCGGGGCGTCGGGACGCATCGGGCGTCCCCGATCGCCACAGGAATAGCGAT